ACTTGACCACTTGCCCACTTATCGACCTTCTAGAAGGACTACAACTAGACTTCTGGAACTCACTAAGACTTCTACTCTATAGACCTACAGATCGAACCCCTGCTTCCTATGGGTCCCTACGACAGACTACTAACTGTTACAAATACACAGGTCACAGGTTCAATTGTCGGGGTCTACACAGGTACTGTACACAGGTAGGGCAAGGTCTAGGGATCGAACCCTGGGATCTGCGTCTGCTACTGCTAGGAGGTGAAAACCGTTTCACTCCCGCCGTCCTAAATTTGAGGTTTTCCGAGAATATTTCAGTTCAAGGTAGGACCTTTACCCTTCTTATCACGCTCATAAGCTCTGACTATGTCGGGAGCTGTTTCTAGAAGTTATGTCCTTGTAAACCAGCGGTCGTCTTCCGGTTCCTGATAAGCAAACCGGACCTTATACTGTTTCTGGGACGACCTCTACCTCCTGTTCTGAACACATCCTCATCTACAATGCCGTCAATGTSATAACTTCCATCCATATCCGGGGGGATCATGGATCTTCTTGAAGGGAACTGTTGACTTGTGACACACGACAACAACTTTAAAGCATGGAACGCAGGGTATGTGTGGAGGTGTGCTGGGATCTCTATAGTGTAGGACGGTCCATCCTCTCCGCCCTTGACTTCTAGAACTGGTCACGGTCCTCTGTATGCAGGCAGCAACTTCTGCGAGATGTGTTCCTCAGGTGCAAACTCTTTTGACCTGACCCAGACTAAGTCGCCTACCTGAAATTGAGACGGGCGACAATGCTTGTTTGTCTGTTCTATCATTCTGTGTTGGGCCTTGCTGAGGTTTTAAACAACTGTTGCTAGTTCTTTCTCGTGTTGTACTGCGAACTCCCTGGTACCAGGCGATAGTCTGTGAATCTGTTCCCGGTTCAGTCCTTCGAACGGTCTGCGTGGTCCAAAGGACTTGTGTAGCTCATTAGGAGTCCGACAAGTGGATAGATGCACGCTGTTGTTGTATGCACTAGCTACCTTAGGCAACATCTCATCCCAGTTGATCTGATCAGGTCTAATGTACATGCGCAAAACTTGCTGTAGAATCTTGTTCATCTGTTCTATCTGACCGTCGGTCTCTGGATGACGGCCAGATGACATTAACAACTTTGACCCGTAAACTCTCATCAGTTCTTGCCAGTTCTGGCTGGTGAAATGACTATCTCTGTCGCTAACTATCGATAATGGGACTCCGTTCTCACTAACCCAATCATTGAAAAACTTCTGAATAACTAATTCTGTACGTGCCTCTGCAGGCAAAGGAACAAAAACGACATACTTGCTAAAACAATCAACTATGATCGTGACTTGGCTCTTACCATGCCTACTCTTGACCTGAGTATCCATGAAGTTTATGGACACTGAATCTCCAGGTTGATCAGGAATAGGCAGCGGTCTGAGAAGACCTAGGGGCGCGCGTGTAGTGGTCTTATTCCTCTGGCACACTTTACAACTGCGGACATACTCTATGCAGTCGTTCTTCATCCCTGGCCAGGTGTACGCACGCATCAGATTGGCTAATGTCTTTTGCCAACCAAAGTGTCCCTCTGTGTCATGGCATTCCCCTAGGATCAGACTGCGGACTTCCTCACTATTGGGAACGCATAGGCGATCGAATACATCTGTCTTCTCAAACTGTAATCCTTCTGTAGTGCGGTAGTGTGGTTCGGTCTCTGGGGCCTCCTTACCCCTCTTGAGGAGGTCACTGTAGATAGGGTCCTGAGCATACGCTTGCTTTACTTTCTCCTGCAGGTCTCTCCCTATATCCAGATAGTGAACTATGGCTCCAAAGTAGTCTGATCTCCTACTCAGAGCATCCGCAACTACGTTATACTTGCCCTTCATTGGCTTAAGCTCAAAGTCATACTGGTCTATTTCAGCGGCCCACCTAGTTAGCTTAGGTGTCATCTTGGCCTGGGTCTTTAACCATCGAAGCGTCTCGTGGTCAGAATACACTTTGAAGTGCCTCCCAAGCAGGTAATGCTTCCAGTGCTCTCGGGCCTGCCTGAGAGCGTAGAGTTCTCTCTCGTACGTCGAGGTAGCAACCTTCTCTGAGGGCATCCTCGCTGACATGAACTCTACGGGTCTATAGCCATTGTCGTCGTCTTGCTGCAACACGACGCCTATTCCATACTGACTCGCATCCGTGGTGACGACAAATGGCAAAGACGGATCAACTACTCTGAGGACAAAGTACTCTATTAATGACGCTTCAATCTCTTTAGCGCAGACGTACAATCTTTGTCTCATTGCCAAATTGCCTCTTTCTTAAGCAACCTGCGCAAGGGAGCGGCGATAGTAGAGAAGTTCCTTACGAACTTTCTATAGTAATTGGCTAGGCCTAGGAACGACTGCAATTCTGTCAATGTGCGGGGCGTCGGCCAGTCTCTAATCGCCGCTATCTTGCCGTCCTCTGGCTTAATGCCATCTCCGTCTAATACGTGGCCCAAGTACAGGATTTGCGTCTTCGCCCACTCGCACTTCTTCGCGTTGATCTTGAAGTTAGCCTCTCTAAGCTTTTCCAGACCTGCCTTAAATGACCCTGATGCTCCTGGAGGGTCTTACCGAAAACTAAGGTATCATCTAAATAGACTTCAACAAACTTGTCTAACCAAGGTCTAAACAAATCATTCATACGAATCTGAAAGGTGGCTGGCACGTTGGTCAGTCCAAAGGGCATCACTATCAACTCATAGTGCCCATATCTAGTCCGGAAGGCAGTCTTGTACTGATCATCAGGATGGACCTCTATCTGATGATATCCAGACTTCAAGTCTATCTTATAGATATACTTGCAACCCTGCACACGAAGACCTGATCTTTTAACTGCTCCTTTTTTACTAATCGCGCGAACGCGGGAGCACTAATTCAGCAATGTGCCAAGGTGTTGTCTACACCTGACACATGGAACAGGCCGGCAGTCTTGACCTGGCCTAATGGACTAGGGAGCCTACACTCATGCTCTCTCAAGTGGAGTGTGGCTCCTGCTGCCTCTCCCCAATCCATACCTAACACCATGTCGAAAGGAAGGTCATCCTGTACGAGGAGAGTCAGGGAATGGAGAACTTTCTCCACCTTCCCATCCTTCTCTAGTCGAAAGTACGCCTGGACTCCCTCTACGTAGTCCTCAACTCGCATTGTGCGGTTGTCTGCGAGGACACTGACTATGGGGACTACTATTTGTTGGACTTTTAATCCTAGCCTTAACTTTTTCAGCGCTCTGCGGCTAATATAGCTACGGGTAGCCCCTGAGTCTATAAGGGCCCTACTCTACTCCTGAAAACCTCTACATCAACTAAGATTAGCCGTCCCTTACTCTCCTTCCTCATTTTGGCCCAGGCTGTTATTCTCTCCTTTAGCTTTTCTACCACACCTGTGAGGGACGTGCCTAGAGAGACACTAACACAAGCGGTCTCTGGACAGCTAGCTAGGCAAGGCCTGCAACCTCTGCCATAGGCTCATGTGGGTTGGGAGTGTCCTGCTCTCGCACACTCACTTCTCCACATGGCCTTGAAGTAGGGGCAGTTGCGACCCCTACTGGCGGCTGCCTTTTGACTGCTATACTGTGGACAAAATTTAATTACGTGGGCCGGGCACTGACCCAAGTTCACGCGTTCCTGCCATACGCGCTGGTCCAAGCCCAAGTCTTCCCAGGGCCTGCCCTGTGGGCCTAGGTGCCAACCTCCTTGAGGTGCCCTTCCACCTCGTCGCTGTGGGGACCGATTAGAACCCTGGCGATTTGGAGGGGGACCTTGACCCCTACCTCCCACTTGGCGGTTCCCTTGTCCGCCAACCCCCTGTGCGCCCAGTCCTCGGCCTCCCATGGCTTGGCCCCTTTGGCCTTGGCCTCCTCCTCTACCTTGCGGCCTCCCTCCAACCGCGACAGTAGCATAGGACCTCCCTTGCCCCACGCCACTATCCTCCTCCTCGAGGCCCCACTCAATCTGACTATACGGGACCTCATCAGTACCACCTTCCTCTAACATCAGGATCATGTGATCCTTGGCCTTGACTTGGCCAGAGATGGTACGTCCTTTCCAACTTTTTCCCTTTTCCAAGTCCTTATGCCAGAAAGTGGAAACTGGCATGGACTTTGACTCAAACAGGACCACTTCCCTACTCAGCACATCATATGTGATTCCGGCCTGTTGAGACTTGTCAAAGAAGTGCCCCCTCAGGGGTTCTGGCATGGCACGATAGAATAACTGGACCAATTAGGGCTCAGTAACCCCGCGGTCTTGGACGACCACCAGGTCGTCCATGACGCCCTTGAGTGCTCGCGCACTCCTCCATTGTCGCGAGTGGATCGTTTGTAATTTATCAGAGGCCCTAACGCCTCTCGTTGGATCAACGAATCGCTCCCTCAAGAGCTTAAAGAACAGAGAAAGGGGGGTGACCTTTGAGTATGCAACCAGGTTGTTTTCACAACCGGCTGCGCGCGCAAGGGACCTGGCAAAACTAGCCGCCTCATCCTTCAGGGCCTGGAAGGCCACGAGGACTTGCTCATCTGTTAGGATGTGCTGTAGATACACGTAACTATTGACACTGGCTTCCCAGTTGTCAAAGTTCTCCTCCTTCTTCCCTCCATAGGCATCTGGGAATTTAAGCTTCACAGGCTCCTTACGGGGCCTGGCCCCGCCCTCTACAGCGGCTATCGCTTTGGCGCCCTCGATAGCGCCCTCTGAAAACTTCCCCACATTGTCTCTCAGTTGCTTAACTTCGCCCCCAATGTGGGTGACTATTTCGCGCGCAAAATCTCTAAATCCCGACCGGATGGCACTCAGGGCCACCTCTTGACTCCAACTAGCCTGGCGCTCCTCCATCCATGCTGTGCTCAACACCTCCAGGTACCCCAACACCTTGTCCCATTTGGCCTGATCATCTGCCTGGGGCTGCACTTCTTTCCTACAGTCTTGCACCTTCGCCACCTCTGCGGTCAATTTGTTGACTTCCTCTCTCCTCCTCTTCCTTTCCCTCTTCATTCTCAATTTTCATGCCAACTTTTGCTCCTCCTCCCTTTCTCGCCGTTCCATAGCGTCCTCCATTGTTGCTAGCTCACTGGCTAGCGCATCCCTCTCATCCTGAGTCACATAAGACTCCGCCTCCTCATCTTCTCCCAACGATAAATTAGTGACCCACTCACTTATCCTCTTCTCCATCTCTGCGTCTGTATCCCTCTTTGTGCCACTGCTCCCTTCTCTGCTCTCAATACGCATCCTCTCTTTCGCTTCTTCCGCTGCTGCTTCTTCTTTAGCAGCCTTCTTCTTCTTCTCCATCTCCTCCTCCAATCCCTTCATCTTCACCGCTTGGTCCTCGGCGATTGCCTTTAGCTTCGCCTGTTTCTGGAGCTCTTTCCTCTCTTTGTTCTCCCTCACTAAGGCGACCATCTTTTCTTGCTGCTCCTGAGTGTAGGGGCTAGTGCTTAACCCAGAACGGGTCTCAACCATGGTGATAAGTGTACAACGGGATTAGTGGTTCCAAGCCTCACCACGTAGACTCTAACCCCTGACAGACAACCCTACTGACTCAATCTAAGGACTCACAGAATCCTGACAGGGATCCTACCACCTGGGATCTCTAGCCTAGATCTACACTATGGTTGTCACTACTAGACCTGTTGCTGATCAGGAGGCATTTAAGGAGATCCCCCAAACTCCTCAGGAATTATTTAACGTCGCAGACAGGACGACGCGATCAGCAGGTCTCTCAAGACTTAGACAGTCTGTTGTGCAGCCCACAACTCGGATTTCGGGCCTATTGTGACACACCGAGCAGCCCGCCGGTCAGTACCGGTCCTTGGGAGGGTTTGTCCTCCGGGACAGTCGAGTCGTCAGACACAGCTTGTAGCCCTACTCATCCCGTGTGGGTTTGGTCAACAAAACCTATCCTTCATCCACAGAGTGCTATCACCTAGGACAAAAGAGACTCAATGCAAAAAGAATAGAGAGACAGACTGGACTCAGCAAGTACCAAGGGGTGTGTGCACATCCATAGCCTAAGGGCGAGGGGTAGGCTGAAGGCTTGGCGAGATGTTACCGGCTCCAGCTTGGTCAAAGTCTTGGTGCCTTGGTCAACTCCTGGTCAGACCCCGGTCAAATCCGGTCAACGCCGGTCAACACCTCCGGTCAACCCTCTTGGTCAACCCTCCAGTCAGCTATGGCTGTCGGGTCCTCTTCCTTGCCAACCCTCTTCTCCCTTTCACCTTCCTCGTCGTGGTCTTCTTTGCAGGTGCGCGGCGGCTTCTCCAACCTCAGGTCTGCTATGGCGGACTATATCCCTTGGCGACCACCTCTGCTATGGCGCATCAGGCCCTGCACATGGCGGCGCGCATGGAATAGCGGGTACCAGCTCTGATACCAATGCAATCAAACTCGTTCTCATTCACACTTTTCATGCATGTAAACAGTAGCGTAGCAAACTGGCGACATGTGCCCACTCAAAACTCAGAGATATGGCATCCAGATACGAGTTCACTTTCAACTGGCTATGGCAACTTAGCGCCCAAACAACTCACTGTTCACACACTCTGGATCACCCTGGATATCCCACACGCGTCACCCTGAACACTCACACACACACACACACACTTCACACTAACTCTAGCTACGGCGGCTATGGCCGCATCTACCCTATCACTATGCTACGCTCCTTCTCTCTCGCCCACTTCAGCTTCGGGCTCTCTGCAGACCTCCTTGCACAAGTCGCTGTGGCAGCGCTTCCGCATGGCTCACACAGGAATGAATGAAAGGTTGGGCGCTGCCTCTTGATTTATACTTCGGAAACTCGTTTGTCTGCCCTTTGCCATCGGYCCATGGTGCTCACAGTCCCCCGTGGTACTTGCTGGACCGGACTGGGACTGACTGGACCTTACCGCTGACTGACTGTGGACTCACTGCGAACCTACGGTAGTCGTACTGCAATTGCACTGCAGCTTAGTCCACCACTTGACTCGCCACTTGACCACTTGCCCACTTGCCGACCTTCTAGAAGGACTACAGCTAGACTTCTGGAACTCGCCAAGACTTCTACTCTATAGACCGATAGATCTAACCCCTGCTTCCTATGGGTCCCTACGACAGACTACTAACTGTTACAAATACACAGGTCGCAGGTTCAACTCTCGAGGTCTACACAGGTACTGTACAAAGGTAGGGCAAGGTCTAGGGATCGAACCCTGGGATCTGCGTCTGCTACTGCTAGGAGGTGAAAACCGTTTCACAATGGAGTGCTGAGATGATTACCACTGATTCAACTGATTGTCAAGAAAATACAGACACCATCTTTTCTCTCTGGTTTGTGAACGTTGTGCCCCTGGTTGTTGTGCTCCTTTTTTTTTCTCAGAAAGAAATTTTGAACCTTTTTCAATTTATGAGTGTCATCCTTGCACAGGGGCCATGATAATCTTCTTTCTCTGTATCGTTCCAATTTCCACGGATGTCTCGGAGGACGATTGTTGGGGTCCTTAGTTTTTCGAACTTCTCATGAGTTCTTGACAATAGTGCGTGGGAATGGTTTCCTCTTGTCTTTCTGAGCTCTGCAGTTCGGCTTGGCTATCCACGACATCGAAGATCTGTCTTTGACTGGACTACCTGCAGTGAATCTCTGTACTGTATCAACTTGAAGGAAGATCCAAAGCACTTTGCCATGGACCAGGACTAGGAGCAGACAACAAGGTCAAAACGCGCAAAGATGAGCGATGGACCTTGGGTACCTACCGAATGGGAGGCAAGGTTGGAATCGTTGGATGCTAAGCAAGCAGAAGAGTTGTTGGAAGCCGTCCAGACAATGCTTCATTCTCCTGAAAAGCTTGATGTGACATTCATCTGCGAGGAGTCTATAGAGGTGCGGGCAAATAGAGCGTTGTTGGCGAGTAGTGCATGGGTCCTGGGGACCATCTCACGCAGATGTGTACATGTCATGCATCATCTTCACACGCAGTGTTCAATAGTCTCAACCATAGACAAAGGTAGAGAAGAAGAGGACGGAGTCTCACAGCTTATATTATCAGAAATATGATTACAAAGTGTTTCAAAGTTCCCCTGAGTCCAGCGCTCATCAGCGCAACACAAATCTCTGCTCAACTCAGCAATATGCCTTCCAAGGCATCAGCGCTACCCCTGCAGATTGTCTACCAGTCATCAATATGGTCACAACTTATCAGCGCCAACTCTGCAGTTCACAACCAACTCAGGTAAGTGTCTCCCATAGCCAAACCTTGAATGAACACTCTTCGTCTCATTCTCTTCCTCCTAGGATGCATGCACACACTGTTCTCACAAGGATCTACTCTGAATACTACTCATAGCTAAGTACTAACCCTTCCAGCGCACAGTCTTCTTCTTCCCTCTTAGCGCATCTTCCTTCCTCCAGCGCTACTCCTACTGACTAACGCACAAGCGCACCAGCACTTCCACGCATTCCAGCCAGTGGAGATCTGGCAAGGAATGAGGCTGGCAGCTTTCTTTATAGTGTTGGCCACTCCTCGCTGGGTCTGCATTGGCTCAATTCAGCCTGTCCTTTGTCCCAGACCCTGCATTGCATGTGTCCCAGTAGAGTCCCAATGAAGTTCAACTGCTGCTGAGGCCTCTCGGCCTGTATTTGGACTTGAAAGTCTGGATCTGGACTGACCCCTTGACTTAGACCAGAACTGGGACTGTGCCTATTGACTTTACTTTCGGGCAGGCACAACTCTCAACGAACAGACACATTTACTGCTTGAACAGACACTTTCCTTTGCACGAACAGGTACATTGCCTGCACGTGCAGACACACTCTTACCCGAGCAGACATGACATACACATCTCCTGGTGAACAGGTAAGTCTTTTGACAATGCCCTTTGCTTTAGATCTAGATGTGCCTGATGATAGAGAACTTGACCTTTGACCTGCTTTCACGTTTTTGAGCCCTGGCGAGACACCTTTTCACAATGCTTTACTTTTACAAGGCCCGAGCTACTTTATTTTTACAAGGCCTGAGGCCTATATCAGATAAAGGCCCTTTTACTCTCGCCGGCCTAAATTCAGTGTCCCCTGAGAATCATTTACCTATCAAGGATATGAATTCCTCTCTTTGCGCTTTCGTATGCAGACACAATATGAGGTGCAAAATCTAATAGTTCTTCTCTTGTAAACCAGCGATCTTCACTAGAATCCTGGTATGCAAACCTCACCTTGTACTGTCGCTGTGGTCTGCCTCTTCGTCCAGTGTGGTAAGTACTTTCTGCAACAATTTTATCGACGTCATACTTGCCATCCATACTTGGAGGTATCGCTGATCGGCGACTTGGGAAGAGCTCATTCGTTACACAAGGTAAGAGCTTGGATGCATGGAACACTGGATATGTACGTAGATGAGGAGGAATCTCAATGACATACGAAGGACCATCCACATCTCCAATTACGTCTAGAACCTGCCAAGGTCCTCGGTAGGTGGGTAAAAGCTTCGGAGAGATGTTCTCTTCAGGAGCAAACTCTTTAGACTTCACCCAAACCAAATCTCCTACAGCAAATTGAGACGGGCGTCTGTGTTTATTTGCCTGTTCAATCATCTGATGTTGTGGTTTGAGTATATTTTCTTTTACCTTTTCAATGTCTTTCTGATATTGGACTGCAAATTCACTAGTCCCTATAGGAAGCTTATGTACTTGATCCGGGTTCAACCGATCAACGGGTCTGCATGGACGCCATCCCAGATGTAACTCCATAGGAGTCTTACACGTAGATAGGTGCACAGAGGTATTATAGGCACTAACAACCTTAGGCAGATGTTCATCCCAGTCAATCTGATCGGGACGAATGTACATGCGCAAAGTTTGCTGTAAAATTTTGTTCATCTGCTCAGTCTAGCCATTAGTCTCAGGATGTCTGCCTGATGACATAGTCAACTTAGAGTCATAAACATTCATCAGTTGCTGCTATTGTTCACTCGTGAACCTGGTATCTCTGTCATTCACAATAGTTAAGGGATGTCCAAAGTCTTTTACCCAATGGTTAAAGAATTCCCGAATTACCAATTCAGTCGTTGCTTCCACAGACAAAGCTACAAAAACAGCATACTTAGTGAATCTATCCACTGTGACCATAACTTGCGTTTTCCCATTCCTGTTTTTGATCTTAGCATCCATGAAATCTATAGAGACAGAGCCTCCAGGGCCGGTAGGGATAGGCAAGGGCTTAAGTAGCCCGAGGGGCRATTGCGTGGTGCTTTTGTTTCGTTGGCACACTTGGCAACCCTGCACATACGCGATACAATCCGCTTTCATTCGAGGCCAGGTGTAGGAACGTAACAAGGTCCCATAGGTCTTCTTCCACCCGAAATGGCCTTCTGTATCATGGCATTCCCCCAAGATCAKACTTTTGATYTCTTCATTATTGGGTATACACAGCCTATCATGCACATCAGTTCGTTCAAACAACAGACCCTGAGTCACTTTATGATCGGGAAACTCTGCTGGCCTTTCTTGCACTAGCTTAATCATGGCTCCATAAACA